TTTGTTTTCCTAGCAGTCCATGGTATTCTCAATACTCTTCTCCAGCACCACAGCTCAAAGCCATCAATTCTCCTTCTATTCTCCTTGGTCATTGTCCAACTCTCTGATGCATAACAAGTGATTGCGAAGACCATGGCCTGCATCAGACGCACCTTAGTCTCCAGAGAGACACCTAATGTGTACTTAAATCTACTTTTCCCCCCTCTCTTTTCTTAAATTTAACTTTTCATCTGCAGGTGGTGCTGCCCGAGGTGGGTGGGTGGACTCTCTACTCAAAGGTGACCACGTTTAGATTCTGAGACGGGAAGTGGAGGGTGAATAGGTCATGGTGGCCTTTAATTTTTTTTCTCTCTTTTCTTAATAAATCTACTTTTAAAAGCAATCATCATACCCTTAGACATTGCTGGGAAGAATTTAAAATAGTGCAGCTGCTGTGGAAAGCTGTTCAATATTGCCTCAAAGAGTTACACACAGAATTATCAGATGAAGTCAGCAATTCCTCTCTTAAGGGTATACACAAGACTTCAACGTAAGGACTTAAGCTTGCTCACCAGTGCTCACTGCAGAAAGATGCATAATTGCCGAAAGGTAAAAATGAACTAGGGCCCATCAGTAGATGAATGTATAGATAAAATGTGATACACACATATGTTGTTGTTAGGTGCCATTGAATGTGACTCATAGCGACTCTATGAATGTTTGAACCTTGTCCTATTCTGTCCCATCCTCATCATTTCTGACACACTGGACAGCAGTAACTGTGTCAAATCAGTGACTGAGCGTCTTTTTTCTCTGACCCTCCACCTTTCCACGCATGATGTTCCTCCCCAAGGATTAGCCTCTCCTAACAGCATGCTCAAAGTATGTGAGGTGAAGCTTTGTCATCTTTGCCTCCAAGGATATATGTATATACTGGACACATGTAATACCCTGCTTTTAAGAGAAATGAAGTCCTGATATCTGCTATAAGAGTCATCAAAGTGAGTGAACATTATATGAAATTAAGTAAAGATTTAATAGGACAAATACTGCTGATTCTCATGTAAATACCTGAGATAGGCAAATCTTTGTAGAGAAAAGTTGACTAGATGTTGGCAGGGGCAAGGAGAAGGGGGAAAGAGGTGGAGTTGTTGCTTAAGGGATATTAAATTCCTACTTGGTGGTGAGAAAAAAAATTGAAATAAGCAATGGTGAAATAAGTAAGGGATCTCTGGTAGTCTAGTGGCAAGAAGCTGCACTGCAGTCCGGAAGGTGTGCAGTTCAAATCCACCAGCTGCTCCATGGGAGAAGGATAGGCAATCTCCTCCCATGTGATTAACTGCCTCTGAAAACCCACTGGAGGGTCAGCTATGGGTCGGATCTGACTTGATGGTATACAACATGAAGAAGGGTGATGTTTGCACACTATAGTGGTTTTAATTAAGCCAGTGAATTATGCACATGATTAAAAATGTTTTGTTATATATTTTATAACAAGACCTTTAAAAATAAAAAATGTAAAAAACAATCATTATTATTATCACTAGACTACCACAGTTATCCATTGAAATGACTCTGTGAAAACAAATTTATTATTGCTGGATGCTGTTCCCTTTAGAGCCAGAAGAGTATTCAGTCAAGATCAAGAATCCCAAACTACAGACCTCTTCCTTGATGCAGTCAAAAGATAATAATTTTTAAAGGATTAAGGGCCCTACTCTCGAATGCAATTCTAATTTGTAGCCTAGGGCCTATGTGTCAGGCTACCAACCGAAAGCTTGGCCACTTGAATCCACCAGCTGTTCTTCAGGGGAAAGATGGATTACTAAGAGCAGGAGTTGGGGGAGCTCTGTTGGCCTAGTGGCAAGAAGCTGCACTGCAATCCCAGAGGAACACGGTTCGAATCCACCAGACGCTCTGCCGGAGGAGGCGCAAGATCCTCCTGTACCAGTCAGATCTGATTTGACGGTACACGCACACAAAATTAAAAAAAAAAAAAAAGAGCAGGAATCAACTTAAAGGCAGTGAAATTTTGGATATTGTTTATACAGCCTTGTAAGGAATTCTGGTGAAGCAGTGGTTAAGTGCTCATTGCTACTAAAAGATCAAACCCACTAGCTGCTCTGTGGGAGAGAGATGCGGATTGGTACAAGTCAAAATCGACTCAATGGCACAGAGCAATGCATCCCTCTAATCATCTTCCCTGTCCTGAGCCAGTCTCAGACACACCAACCAACACCCATTGCCCAAGATACTGTATCAACCCATCTCATCCAGGGTCCGTCTTCTCCTGCACTGTCCCTCCACCCTGCTGAGTTTCTCCTGGCCATGTGCCCAAAGTATGTGAGCCAGAGCTTCAAAATCCTTGCCTCCAAGGAGAGACCTGGTTTCTGAAAGAAGAATATGGCAGGTGCCCCACCGCCCCCCAAGCTTGATCACTTCCTGAGAAAGTTGATAACACCTAAACTGGTCATATCAAAGACCAGAGCAGACAATGGATCCTGATAAGGGTCTGAGCTTGATTTAAAAAACTAAGACCTAACTTAATTAACACGCCAAATTCTGAAAAGTACCATGTTAGTCTTCCCCAGGACCCCTTTAAAGGAAACCCCCCCAAACTGCCGGTGCACCATTTCGACCATGTCCACATGCCATGCGCCAGGTTACTTGGTGTCCTTCTTAGACCGCGCATTAAAGGGACCAATTCTTGGGACCAATTCCTTTCTGTATTTCTTGCCCTTGCGCCCTCGTGCTTTTTTATATCTAACAATTTCACCTTCTCCAAGACAGATGTATTTGTTTTCTTGGCAGACATGGTTAAGAACTGATGTACATAGGGTTGCTATAGGTCGCAGGTGACTCAACAGCACATAACAACAACATACTATATTGGTTGTTTTTTATTTCAGCCTCTTGTTTAGAGTCAACAAGATATCAGGGAAGACCTCTGTATTTAAAAGTCATTTGTTATATTTTGGAGGAACATTCTAAGTGGTACAGCACTCTTCTGTCAATATGCTGTACTGTGGTAACCTGGGGTTGCTGTGATGCTGAACTTTGTGCCATTAGGGTGTCAAATGCCATAACAGTTACCTGTGGTGAACAGTGTTTGGTGGAACTCCCAGTTTAGGACAGGTTTGGAAGCAGGAGTGGCTTCCACTTCCTAAACAACATGCCTCTTGAAAAACTCTATGACTTTGAGAAACAATAGTTATAGAAAAGCTTCAGATCTTTTGTTCATAGGGTTGCTATGAGTTGTGCTTGCTTGACTCAACGGCAATCAACAACAACAATAATCATATTCAGTTGGGGAAGCATTCTTAAACCAACACCTCCCTCCAGCCTTTAGACCTTAAACTCACAAAGGAATATAATTTTCTCTGTTATCATTCTGCAAAGCCTAAACAAGACATTGTTTTCATTATCTGACAGCTAAAATCTTAGCATGCATCCACTTGGAACACGATGCTTAATAAAGGAATATACCTGAGCTCTTGGTATCTAATCCTAAGGGGATTTCACTAGCTTTATTTTTTTTTACCTCATTATAAGAAATAAAGACAAACAGGAGGAGTTGGAGAAACCCTCAGAACACCCATCCTGTGAAGGAGGAACTTTAACATTCCTCCAAAGACACGTGTCAGAGGATTGAGCTGCAACTCACACGTCTCTGGTGTGACTAGGGTTGCCGGGTGAGGGTGTGAGTTTACTTTTCATCTTAGCTGTTGAGTCTATTACATCCCTGAGTAGGAAGTGACAGCTGGCCCCGGAACGGCTGGAGCTGCTGTCTCAGGGACAGCTGATGGGGCATGCAGATAGTTCCTGAGCTAATGCCTGTGGAAGTCGTGGCAAAATCCAGGAAGCTTAAGCAATTGGCTTAGTACAGCATTGCTGGGCATTAGAAGATTGATTATGAGAAGGCATGGATATCTGAAGACTGACTTTGAGAAAACTCTCAATACTAGGCATTTCAAAGTTAACTGAGAAATCTCTTAATACTGAACATTGGAGGCTGACTTCGAGAAATCTTTTAATACTGGGCATTGGGATGCGGATTTCATAAGATTGCCTCGAACTGAACTTTTGAAAGTAGACCTCATGAAATCTCTCAGACTAACAAAAGTGGTCAGATGGCCTGTTGGACCAGAGGTGTGCTCTGAGAGCTCTGGACACCATGAGAGACCCAGGAGGGACAAACAGTGCCTGAGATGACTGGACAGGCAGAAAATCGATGAGACACAAATTGGAGAAGCCCTATCAACAGGAGGCTGAGCTTGAGAGGCGCGAGGAAAATTCTGGAGCTTAGCTGTGAAGCTGGAGGGGGGCTCAGGCACCAGAGAGTGGCTCTGAGAATCCACGGCAATGGCCCCCAGAGGCAAGATTAACCAGAAGTTGAGGGACAGCAAGAAGTCAAGGCCGAGCTCGCTGGAGGCTGACCCAGTAAAGGACTGATTGCCTTGTAGGAGCAGGAAGGACCAGAGGCTGACCTGCAGAAGTCAAAGGGTCACCAAGCTGGCTCTGCTACGGCAAGGCTGTGGGGATATTGAGTCTGGGGCGTCCAGACCCTAAATCAGAGGGGTCAAGGTGCTCAGAAGGTAGTCCCACGGGGCAGGCGTGCACAGGCCACACCTTTGTATCTGGGGTCCCTTCATGGCTGAGCTGCTCCCCGCCACCGGCCTGGGCGTCGCCATTCCCGGGGACCTCACCCTGGGTCCCTTTTTCTGGCTGGCCGGTGGCCATCGGGGCCGGGAAAGCAGCTCTCTGGATGGTCCTCCTGCACGGGTGTTCCGCGATGCGCTGGATCGTGGTGGACACGTTGTCGATGGTGGCGGAGAAGCGGTGGCTGACCCTCTGGCGGAAGGCTGTGACGATGGAGTGCTGTTGGAAGGGCGGCCGGAGGAGCAGTTTCTCTTCGCTGGGCATTTCGACGTTGCCCGTGTACCAGAATATCCACCAGAGTAGGCTCAGGAAGATGATGATGGCCCCCAGGTAGAGCAGGAGGTCGTAGAAGAGCAGGTTGGAGAAGACGCCGGTGAACAGCACCACGGAGCCCACTATGTCGAAGACGACGCCCAGCCAGAAGAAGTGCCTGCAGCGGCCCAGGCCCCACCGAGACGCGGGAGCCTCCACGGGGCTTTGCGACTCCATGGAGTCGCATGAGACACGGACCGCAGTTGGCAGAGGCTGCCTGTCTCGTAGACACAGCTGCAGACGCGTCCACTAGCAGCCTGCTTCTCCATGGCAACGGCGTCGGGCTAAGACGCGCAGGGGGCGGAGCCGGGGGCGGGCGTGGGAACGCGCCTCTCACCTGCGCGCCGTCTGAAAAGAGTGCGCACGCGCAGAACGCCCCAGCCCGGGGTGGGAAGGGGGGGTGGAAATTGCCGTTTGCGCATGCGCAGTACTCCCTATCCATTGCAAACGTCGTGTTCGCATGTGCGGTATTTTCATCGCTCACTTTGGAATAGTGGCAGTTGACTTACGTCTGTGAAGCTCTGCGTTGGATAAAATGATGATGTCTCGGGACCATCTCCCAGCGCAGGTTGTTGTTAGGTGATGTTGAGTCGAGTATGACTCACAGCGACCCTATGCTCAGCTGAACCCTGTCTATTCTGTGTCATCCCCATCAGCTCTGACAGTCTCGAGCCCATTGCTGTAGTCACTGTGTCAATCCACCTGGTTGAGGCTCTTCCTCTGTTTCGTGGTTCGTCTACTTTTCCAAGCAAAAGGTCCCTCTCCAAGGACTATCCTCTCCTGGCAACATGCCCAAAGAATGTGAACTGAAGCTTCATCATATTGGCCTCCATGGCGCACTCTGGCTGAACCTATTCCAAAACGTATTCTTTTGACAATCCATGGGGATATTCAATACTCTTCTTCAACACCAGAACTCAAAGGCATTGATTCTTCCTTGTCATCCTTAGTCATTGTACAGCTTTCAGATGCATAGCAAGTGATTAAAAAGATTATTGAAAAGTCCTCGAATCGACATCATTGCTCCCCAGGAATTTGGCAAGGTCCCTTGACTGCAGACTTTCCCCAGAGCTGACTGAGGTACCAAGTGTATTGATTGTAAATCCAAGTAAGATGCCCAGCGTCGAGGCAACAGATTATTGCCAGAGATGGAGATAGCTACATCAATGTGTCTGATTCAGGCGATGGGCTTTCCAATTACTTGCTGTGCTTCTGAGAGCTGGACACTGAACAAGGATGACAGAAAAAGAATTGACGCCTTTGATCTGTGGTGTTGGAGAAGAGCACTGAACACCTCAGGGACAGCCAAGAGAACAAACAGCTATGTCTTGGAGAAGGTGCAGCCAGAATGCTCTTTGGAGGCAAGAATGAAGAGGCTTCAGCTCATGTACTTTGGACTTGTTACTAGGAGGTACTATTCCTGGAGAGGGAGGGTCAGTGAAGGAAAGAAAGACCCTCAACTAGGTGGGTTGGCAGGGTGATGCTACAATGGGCTGTTGCGTGTATGGTCGATATGAGTTGTAGTCAACGGCACCTAATAACCACCTTCTCTACCTTGCCTTCACCACCCAGAGCAAGGCCTTGAAGGAGAAGGAACAAGAAGTCTCCTGAAGTTACTCCACGTACCAATAAACCCACTACAGTCTAGGGAATTCCGAACCACAGCGACCCTATAGGACAGAGTATAGCCACTTCATAAGCTTTTCAGAGCCCCATCTTTCTCCCATACAGTGAGCTGATGGATTCAGAACCATCTAACTTTTTTTGTTATTTATTTTAAATAATTTCCATTGTTGTACATTTTCTTCCTCTTCATCCTCCTCCCCCAGGATGCCCCACATTCCATCCCTTGTTCCAGATTGTTGTTTTACTTATGCCTAATCATTTTTTCCTTTCAACAGTTTGCCCCCTCATCCGTTCTAATGCAGTGTTTATTCTCATTCTTCCCCCGCCCCCCCATGTCTGTCCTATTTTATAACACTGGTGTGATGCAATATTTATCCTTTTCTGGCTGAGCTATTTCTTTCACTCAGGATAATCTCCTCCATCCTCCCCGTCTTGCGTAATGTTTTACAAGTTCATTTTTTCAGTGCTGCATAATATTCCATGGTGTGAATGTACCATAGTTATTCTATTATTTTTTGATGGGCTCTTGGGTTGCTTCCATCTCTTTGGTATTGTGAATAACACAGCAATAAACATGTATGTGCATACATCTGTTTGAGTTATGGCTCTGGTTTCTTTAGGGTATATTTCCAGTAGTAGAATTGCTGGGTCAAACAGTATTTTTATTTCTAACTATTTGAGCAAGCACCTGACCACATTCCATAGTGGCTGTACCATTTTACACTCCCAGCAGCTGTGAATAAGAGTTCCAGCCTCTCCACAACCTCATCAGCATTTGTTGTTTGCTGTCCTGTTGAACTTTGCTACTGTTGCTGGGTATATAATCATCTTTTTATCCATTTGTGAGACTCGGCTTGGTACCTAGCCAGGAACATCACAACAGGATTTCTCATGTTTGGCACTGACATTTGGTATCAGAGAATTCTCTGTTTCAGGGCCTGTCTTGTTTAGCAGCATTTCTGGTCTCTATTTACCAATAGATACCAACACTCTTCATCTCCCTTTATGATAGCCCCAAAATGACTGCAGACATTGTCCAGTGTCCCCAAGAGAACGAAGTCACTATCATTGGCAACTGACATAATTTTTACATGGCATTGAGTCAGAAGCCACTCATTGCTGACACTCCAGAGGATTAAGAGACTATAAATGCAAGAGAGAAAGACCCTCAATGAGATGTCTTGATTCAGTAACTGGAGTTAAGGGAGTAGGTGTGTCGGAGACAATTAAGATTGGCACAGGATAGAGCAGGGTATAGGACTGTTGTACATAAGGTTGCTATGAGTCACAAGCGACTCAGTGGCACATAATAAAAACATAAATCACACTAGTAGTGATTGTCCATTTTTCTCCCATGGAGCTGCTGGTGGTTTTAAACAGCCTACCTTTGGGTTGGTAGCATAACTCCTTATTCACTAGGCCACCAGAGGAACTAGAAAAATCTCTATCTGATCCTATAGGCTCTGGTTCTGTTGCTTACTTTTCACAGAACCTGGCTGTGAGAGAGACACAATCAATATCCTGTGAAGAGAAAGGAGCAAAGACTCTAGACTTTTACACAGGTATAGGCTACCAGCATCCTCACCCTAACAGACAGAAAATATGCTCAACCTGCTCCAATTGTTAGCATTTAATAAGGGAAAGATTATCACCTTGGTTTGGGAGCCTAGTGGGAAAAGGTGTGCTCCAATACCAAAGTCACATACTTCTAATCCACCAGCTGCTCCACCAGAGAAGGATGGGTCTCTTCCCATGTGATTACTGTGTCTGAAAACCCACCGGAGTGTCAGCTATGAGAAGGCTTGAAGTTGAGAGAAACCAACGACAGTGGGGAAGGAATTGCACTGCCAATCCAAAGACAGAAGGTTCCAATCTGTCAGCTGCTCCGCAGGAGAAAGATAGACAATCTCAGTCCAATGTGCAACCTCTGAGAATCAGCTTGATGGTTATCTAGGAGTTGGTTCTGACTTGACAACAATGAGTTCAGTTGATGAAGAGCAAAAGGTAGAAGCTGGACCATCTGCAATTCTTACTCTTTCCTGTTAAATAATCTCTAAAATGAAAATAACATATTTGCCCTTTGTTATCCAGGAAAGAACATTCACTCTAGGACTCAGAAAAGTTTTACTAAACGTCTGGCTCTGAAGACTTTCTCCTTAAACCTTTCTCTTCCATTAGTTATTTTTTTAAATTTTATAATTTTGTGTGTGTGTACCATTAAATCGGATCTGACTGGTACAGGAGGAAATTGCCCCTCCTTCTCCAGCAGAGCATCTGGTGGATTCGAACTCCATACCTCTGGGATTTCAGTGCAGCTTTTTGCCACTAGACCACCAGAGCTCCCTTCCATTAGTTCTTTTTTCATTTGTTAACCCCCAGAGAGATTGTGAAATTGTGGAAATGAATTTTTCCCCTACTTCAATACAAGAAGGGTTTTTCTAAAAATGGCCAGTAAAGTAGACAGAGACCAAGTCCTTCTTCCTATGGCATAAAAACAAAATTTTATTTCAGGTTGGATAAGAGTAAATAAAAATAAAATACATTGAGGCCAGTCTACAGGTGCAGAAAAGGATTATAAACTGGTATTCCAGCTCTTGCAACCTGGGTTAAATTGGAGGTTCATGCTGTAGATGGACAACATAACGCTGATGCTTGCCTTTGACCTGCATTGTTGTGCTAGAAGAAACATTTACTGAGTAAAAACATCAAAAGAAGAGTAAGTCCAATGATAATAAATATGCAGGTTTCATTTAATGCAAGCTTTCCCACTCTAAGTATAAAACATGCTGATATAAAAACTGTGACGACTTCATGAAGCCACCAGCAGAAATCCATTACGTGGAGTATCATTTGCAAGATGATATTTAGATGCAGAAGACGCAGGATCCAAATCATGGTGGATTCTTGCTGGCAACAGAAAGATGACGTTAGATACAGGTGCAAAGGCCATTGGGAAACATTTTGAGCATTTCAAAGAAGACAGTTTGGGACGAAAAGTTCATTTGTGTTCATAGTGGGCGTGATTGGTCAAAACAGGATTGTACTTTCATCTCGTTTTCTGGCGATTGTTTAATGGGGACTATGTTTTAGAATAATCTGAGATTTATTCCATGAAAAGAATTTCTTCATAGAATAGGGAAATGTAGCAGTTTCTATTCTATGTGGTTTTATAGAATGGGAAGGAATCCATCATGAATTTATTGACTAAATGACAGTGTTAATTCTTTTCTAAGTAGAGTATACCCTTCCTTACGTGTGTTAGGAAATACTTTGAAACAAGCATAAACTCTCTCTCTGGAAAACATTTTTGCTATGTGACAAGTAACTTTACAGTTTAGACATAAGCATGTATGTGCTCAGTAGGAAATAAAATCCCATGAATTTAAGGATCAAAGACTTAAATTTGAGTGACAATTTGGAACTGGAGATGATCATCTGTAATTACTTCATATGGATGAAACATTACTTACCATCTTGGAATTTGCTTTAAAGAAAAACATTTCTATAGTGACAATACTAGAAAGTATGGCCTATTAAACAATCTAGCAGAC